TGTAACTGAAGTTTAAAAGAAATCTACATTAGTGTTGTTTTATTTAGGTTTTTTATATTCATAAACCTGTAAGAGGAATTCATTGTCAGCTTGATCTTATTAGAATGACCTTAGCAAAGGCAAGAGCCAAAGTGACCTTCACAGCATTAAAACCAGGTATCTAACTTGAAGAGACTGATAATTCTTATCATCTTACTTCAGCTCTTCAGTTTTACCAGTTTTCCTCCATCCTTGTGCCTTAGTAGTAGCTGTACTTTCTGTTTTCGTCTCATTAACTGTGGCAAGACAAACTTTGATAACATATTGCAGGGTGGGCAAGATTTCTACAGGATGGATGATTCCTGTGGTATCTTTGCTTCAGTCATGCTGTTAACTAAAGAAAAAACACTTCAGGATGTTTTCTAACAGAAGTCTTCCATCTCTGAAGTCTCCAGTGCTACCTACTACGCAGCCGCTAGGCTGCTTACAGCAGCAAGCTGTAAACTAAAGTTCAGTTGTTGCTTCGGTTAACTACGGGAAAAGTTCGTATCTTGTCATACATCAAATACAAAGTTACAAAAATAAATCCCCATATTTAAAGTCAAAGTAAATAGTATTTCAGAGGTGAAAGAATTCCTTTTCTAACTTCTATAGTGGTTTAAATGAATTAAAACACTTTATCTTGTACTTCATGGTAATTTTAAATGTTAAAATATTACATGGTAAACACAATATATTGCTTGATAAACTGTCAGTAGTCATCTATTATAATGTTAAAATTGTAATGGACTTTTAGTATTAATATTAGTCTAGGCATACATTGTGAAGTAAATTTGATCTCATGCATACGAAGTGGGACCTGTGTCTGACAGAAGGACACTGAAATTAGCTAGGTTTCATAAATTCATTTGTAATCTTCCACGTAAACACAATATATTGCTTGATAAACTGTCAGTAGTCATCTATTATAATGTTAAAATTGTAATGGACTTTTAGTATTAATATTAGTCTAGGCATACATTGTGAAGTAAATTTGATCTCATGCATACGAAGTGGGACCTGTGTCTGACAGAAGGACACTGAAATTAGCTAGGTTTCATAAATTCGTTTGTAATCTTCCACAGCCTGAGAATTTTCTTTTTGACCAGCTATTTGAATAAGATATTGGGAGCCCTTATGTTCCATATAAGTATCGTTTAAGCAGTAAGGTTGTCTTATGCCAGACAGAATGGTTCTAAACATCTAAGCACATCTCTTCCAAGCAGTTTAAAAATGAACAAAATTTAGTGAGGCATCTAAAATATCTTTCATATGGCTTGAGACGACCGCGGTAAGTTCATTATCACATCACTACGGCATGTACTTTGCAAAACTCAAGCTCAGTATTAATGCTTAAAGCTTAATATTGCCTAGCAACATACTTCTGTTTTAAACAGTAAACAATGGAAAGTTCCAATTCTGTGATTGACTCTAATGTTACCAGATACCTTTATAAATTTAGATAACATTCATCATAAATATTTTCATAAGGATGTAAATTAAAATTAAGCACATTTGGAGAACATACTAATAGGGTAGAATCCTCCCACTCAATAATTTATTTGTATTAAGATGCGTGTCAGTTCTGTAGAAGTAAATAGCTTGTTGTTACAGTATTTCAGGCAACTTCCACATTTATTTTGCTCTTTGTATAGCCAATCTCCAAATCATATTATAACTACACTTAGCTAGGTAACCTTTACAATCACCATACTGAAATGCAAGCATTTTTATATTGGAACAACGCTACTTTTTGTTAGTGTAAAGCAAACGTATTGAATAGTTTAGGAGAGATGGAGAATACTATTCCTGCTCACTGAAACAGTAGGAGAAAAATAAAACAGACATATAGAATGGTAGTTTTAGCATTAATAAGGCTACTTATGGTAGCACAGAGACTTCATTAATCATTAATTATTGCAACCTGTCACTTCATCAGAAATACAAGGCCCAATTCTCTGCTTGTGTTTTTGTGTTGCTTTTATACCCGAATAATAGGAGTATGCAATTTATGCAATGAGAAAAGTAACATATTATGCCCATAGTACATGGGTATAAATAGCTATGCAAATTGGAAGAGACTAGAGAATTGTGAGGTTTTTTTAATTGCCACTGTCATGACCAAATTGCTGGGTCACATAAACAGCACGTAAGTCAGTAATTCAGGTGATGCTCTTTCCTCTAAGTTTTTCCTTACAGCAAGTTTTTTTTGGCAGTCTTCCATCCAGCTACTATGTATAAGCTTGCTATATGTATAAGCCTCTGGCATATGACATCAGCTAGAGCAATGACGTATGTGGTAAATTGCTCAGTATATATAGTGAAAACTGAAGCTTAATTTGGAAAATAGACATGCTTCTTTAATATTATATGCTACATTTGCACAGGAACTAATGTCAGTTCCCAGTTTGACAAATCATTCATGGATTTCAAATGGAGTTGAGCTCTCTCACTCAGTGATCAGGAAATAATGTAGTAGTGTCAGTTACTTTATACCATTTCTTAGAGAAAAGTTACTGTGAAATAGTACGAATTTTCTTCAGTTATGTAGGTAAGCCTGTATTACAACTCTCACAGAGGAAAAAAAGGTCATTTGCCACAATTCCACATACAGAGAGTTAAATCTGATAGCAGAATTGAGTGCAGAAGCAGCTGTGTTAGAAAGTCATGGCTAAAAACAAGGCTTTGTGATAGAATTAAGGGCCTATGTTCCAAATCCTGTAATTAATCGCTAATGATGTAAGAAATCTCAGTGAAGTCAACTACACTACTCAGAAGAATATGGATTACTTGCATGAGTAACTGCTGTAGGTCTGGATCAAATAGATTTTTCAGTCTACTTTACGCAGCTGTTACGCAATTTTTAAAAAGTCACAAAATCAGCACAAAGCGAGTTTTTCTACATCTTTTCTGACTTGTCAAAGCTCACAGTACTTTATGAAAAAGTACCTTCCTCTAAAAATAGTCCATGACTAGATTAATGATTACCTATGTTGTCACTGAAATATAGTAAGATGTTTAAAACAAATTGCATGTAAAGTTATAATCTACTATTTGCACTTAAATGATGTAACCAAAACATTTCTAATAGTGTTCTATTATATGTCACAGAACACATTATAAGCATGACCAGTATAATATACATGAAGATAATATATATTGTATGTGGGATTTTAATATCCAGCAATGATTATACTGGATAATCTTAATTTTTAAAGAATGCTATCAAAACATTATGGCACTTTGGTAGTGTTATCATACTGGTTTAGTTGTTATAATATCAATTATTCAGGTGTTTATATTGATTATGTTTGCACAGACCTGATGATTGCTCCATTATTTATGTACTAATGAATTTATTTTCTATATTCTAAATACATTTGTAGTAAGTCAGTTTACTGCTGTTAAAAATTCATTATATTCCCAAAATGGAGTAGATTTGCTGGGTCAGATTTATTTCTGGTATTACGCCATGAAGAAAGCTGTATACCTCCTCTGATTGGTAGTAGGTAAGGTATAGGCTATAGAGTGTGCTGTCTGCAGCTTATAACGTGGAGTCGCATTTTAGCTGTTTCTGTTTGTAGGTGACCAACAGGAGGCAGCATAAGGTCTATTTTCATTAAAACAGACTGAAACCAGGGATATATTTGACAATATTTATAGCTGAACATTATGCTCAGTTTACTTTTTTTCCCTTCTAACATCCAATAAAGCATAGAGATCAGTAACGTTTTGCTGCTGCCTGGGCTCTGCTGATATGTGGAAAGTATGATACATGTTTGCCGAGATGTTCATTCTTTCGTGAAATAAAAGCACCGAGCAACTGAATCCTCCTCAGGTCTGTTTTTTTTCAGTGAGTTTCAAAATACAGAGAATCTACAACATTTCTAATGAGGTTAACTACTTTTTTCAACTGGAGAACATTTTTAATGTTAGATTATAACCAAGAATGCAGTTAGCATGCAGGAAAACTGCGGCGAGAGGGGTTTTTTTTAATTATCCTTGGACCTTGTATTTGTATATCCTTTGTATATCAATTTGCTGCTCCCACGCTAAATTTGATTTAGTCTGCTGAAAAGTTGTAAGTTTACCATTGCAAAGTACTCATTTAAATTGGTATCTTTTTTTATTGGATCCATCTAGCTCAGATCGATATATAGGGGTTTTTTAACAGTTTTAAGTATTGCAAATGATTAGGTATTTATTTTGACGGAAAGGGGCTTCCATACTACTTAGAAGTGGCTTTAAATAAAAGATATAAGCTACTTAGTCTAAAACTCATGTGCAAAGGGTGCAGAAATGGCATTAATACGAAGTGAGGGAGCCCTGTGTTGTCTTGTATTTTTCCAGAATTTAAAATTCCGTGACCTTCAAACCTCTGTATAGATAAACTAGAGTTACAGCAATAAAAATTAACCTTCCAACATGCCAAGGCCTTTGCCCCACAGCTAGGAAAAGCTATTTGGAGACATGTACAAAGCGTTCCAACAGCATTCACAATGTTAAAAGCTTATATTGAACAATGAAAGGATTCACAGACCAAATTTGAGAGCTGTAGTTGTGCAACCCTGTGCACAATCAGAAGAAAATTGCATATGTATATTCTACAGATCCAGGGAATTCACCATGGACTTGCACAGTTTGTATCTGAAGTAAACCATGTGGGGGGCTTTTCTCATTGTGATCAAAAGTAAGGAAGCAGAGTCTGGATCCAATGAGTAAGTTACACATAATTATTACACATAAATTACACGTAAATTCAAGACAGTTCACATGAACGAAGCTGGTATATACCAAGATTTTTCACCCGTGATCAATAGCCTCTGTAACAGTGGAATAACAACAGGGGGAGAAAGTAGAGCTATTTAGAATTATGTGCACAGCTAGCTACC